TTGAAATAAATTAGGGAAACAGTAGAAACCTTTATTTATACTCTTAGTCATCACAATTGATCTTTGATTAAAATCAATGGTTCAGAATAACTAGAAACTAATCCGTAGCCTATACAATTAAAGTTGCATTTTTTAACATGATTTCTACCATTTATGTTGGGTCCGAATTTTAGGCTCACTCATGAAATTATCAAGAAATATCTACTAATCCATTTATCATCCTAGTCCATTCTCGTGGCACGATTTTGAATAAATGCGTGACCTGACCTCCGGAAACTTTTCCAAAATGCTAAGTTATACACACGTCAATCTCACTTACATTCATCTCTTTGATCTCTTGCTTCCTGTCTTAAAAAAAAGATAACAATGGCTCTCGTGGAAGTTTTTCTAGGTTCAATTCTCACTGTTTTGCTTGACAAGCTGGCCTCTGGTGAGCTGCTGAAATTTCTGCGCCGTGTAGGAATCGATGCCCAGATGAAAGAGTGGCATACAACTTTGTTGATGATCGAGGTCGTGCTTACTGATGCTGAAAAAAAGCAAACAACAAGCAATGCTGTGAAACATTGGCTGAACGATCTGGAAGATTTGGCTTATGATCTTGAAGACTTAGTGGATGAGTTGAATACTGAAGCTTCACTGCACAAAATAAGAGAAAACAAAGGCAGCACCAGTAAGGTAAAAAAGCTCATCCCCACTTGTTGTACTAATCTTTCTTATGATGATTTCATGTTTGATCGCGGTATTGCTTCCAAGCTAAAAGAGATCAGTGGCCGGTTGGAAGCTCTATCCAAACAGATAAAAATGCTTAGCTTGGTGGAGAATGTGAGGGGGAGGCCTTATGAAAGATTGCCAACAACTTCGCTTGTGGTAGAATCGGAAGTTTATGGAAGAGAGGAAGACAAAGAGAAAATACTCGAAATCCTATTGGGTGTTGAATCAAATGGTAGTCCAATATCTGTGATTCCAGTTGTGGGCATGGGAGGTGTCGGCAAAACAACTCTTGTCCAACTAGTGTATAATGATGAAAGATTGAAGGGCAAGTTTGATCTGAAGGCATGGGCTTGCGTTTCAGATGAATTTAATGCTGTAAGAGTAACAAAAAACATTCTTGAGGCAGTTTCTTCTGAAAAGTGTGATGATGATAATTTTGATAAGCTTCAGGTCAAACTAAAGGAAAGCCTTTCAAACAAGAAATTTCTAGTAGTTCTAGATGACATTTGGAATGAAAATTATGGAGACTGGGACGTCCTACGCCGTCCTTTTCTCAATGGAAAACCTGGAAGCACAATCATCATTACAACTCGACAAGAAGGGGTGGCCAAAATCATGTCTCAATTTCCAGCATACCACCTGAATTTGTTGTCAGAGAGCGATGCTTTATCATTGTTAGCTCAACATGCATTTGGAGCTAAAACTTTTGACGGACATTCAGATTTAATAGAGATTGGTAAATCTATTGTAAGAAGATGTAAGTACTTGCCCCTGGCAGTAAAGGCCCTTGGGGGGCTTCTTCGCAGGACAGTAGGTCGTACAGGATGGGAAGAGGTGTTGAAAAGTGAGATCTGGATGGCTGAAGGAAAGGGTGAAATTCTTCCGGCTCTAAAACTGAGTTATTACTATCTTCCTCCACAATTGAAAAGATGCTTTTCTTACTGTGCGCGCTTTCCCAAGGACTATGAGTTTGAAAAGTCCGATCTAGTGCACCTTTGGATGGCTGAAGGTCTTTTGCATGAATCAAAGAAAGATATGTCAATTGAAGAAGTAGGTGGTCAATATTTTGATGAACTGCGTGATGGATCATTCTTCCAACAATCAAGTGTCAATGCTTCATGCTTTGTGATGCACGACCTCGTTAACGATCTAGCTATGTATGTTGCTGGTGATAAATGTTTGAGGATGGATGATGCACAGCAGGAAAATCTTCCTGGGAAGATTTCTGGAAAGGTCCGTCACTTGTCATTCGAGCCCAGTCGGTATGAAACTTACCCTAGATTTAGTTTTCTCGACAAAATTCAGAACTTGAGAACCTTTTTGCCACAACCGGTTGAGGAGTTTACTTATTTCTTATCTCAAAGAATTTTGCTTCACCTATTACCAAATTCATACTGCTTGAGAGTGCTATCCTTGAATGGTTATAAAATATACGAGTTGCCAGAATCTATTGGTGATTTAAGACATTTAAGATACCTAGGCCTAGCTCAAACTTCACTGAAGTTGTTGCCTGAATCTGTGAGCACCCTTATCAACTTACAAGTGTTGATTCTACGAGGTTGTTGGAGTCTTACCAAATTACCCACAAGCATGGAAAATCTTGTTAATCTTCGGCATCTGGACATTTCTAGTACTAATGCATTACGTGAGATGCCTCGGGGAATCGCTCAACTAACAAGTTTGCGAACGTTAACTAAGATGACGGCAAGTAAAAATAATGGAATGAGGTTAAAGGAGTTGGGCAATCTATCATTTCTACAAGGTGAAATTTCAATTGAGGAATTGCAAAATGTTGTGAATGTTCAAGATGCAAAGGATGCCAGGCTAACGTATAAGCCAAGTCTTAACAAAATAAGATTGGCATGGAGCAAAGACTTTGATGATTCCCGGAATAAGCTTTTTGATTTGGATGTGCTTAATGCATTAAAGCCCCATGAGAACTTATCAACACTTGAAATTGAGTATTACGGGGGTGAGAATTTCTCTAATTGGATTGGAGATTCAGCATTCCTTAAGTTGGCAGAGATAAGGTTCAAATTTTGTAAAAATTGCACGACTTTGCCACCATTAGGGCAACTACCTTTGCTAAGAGACTTGAGCATTCGAGGCATGGATCAAGTAAAAGTGATTGGAGATGAATTTTATGGAAATAGAGGCAATGGAGAATTACCTTTTCCGTCACTCATTAATCTGACTTTTGAGGACATGTGTAACTGGGAGGAATGGCATGGAATAGAAGGTGTTATCGAACTTCCTCGGCTACACAAACTGAACATAAGAAGTTGTTCAAAATTGGTCAGGCTTCCAAAACTCTTACTGCCATCCCTTCGTGAATTACAAGCTAAAGAGTGTAATGTGGTGGTGCTAAATCATATGCAGAATTTGAAATCTTTAACCCAAATAGAATTGCAGAAAATTTTCGGATTAACTTCAATCATCAAAGCATTTGTACAGGTCCCTTTTACACTTGAAAGTCTTTCAGTTAATGAATGTGACGACCTTGTGACTTTATGGCCAAATGATAATACCGCACGAAACCTAATCAACCTACGGAAGATGCATGTTGAAAGTTGTCCTAAGCTAGTGTCCCTTCAAGAGATTGATGTTCTTCCTGATCTTAGGATACTTCTGATAGAAAAGTGTGGAGTTTTGGAGTTGTTGCCTAATAAAATATCTTGTCTTGAAGGGTTGAGTATTAGTCATTGTCAATCATTAAAGACGATGATGAAGCTACAGGATTGCAGCACCTTGCTATATTATCTGTGGATTATGAATAGTTGGGTGAATTTGAATTTGACAAATTTACTAGGCTCTGGCCACATTTACCAAAGTCTCACTCAGCTACATATATATTCTTGTGATGGTCTAGAGTCGTTTCCCAATGGAGGCTTGCCCACACCAAATTTAAGAGATCTATGGATAGTGGATTGTAAATATCTCAAGTCCTTACCCGATCGGATGGATCTACTTTCGTCACTTACATCCCTGGGGTTGTCTAATTGTGCTTCATTAATGGAACTCTTTCCCCAAGAGAATATTCCCCCAAATCTGTCTATGCTGAATGTCACATATTGCGGGAAACTAAAGCCCCTGGGGGAGTGGGGCCTACACAAACTCACCTCTCTTGAATACTTCAGTTTTGGTGGATGTCCAGAGCTGGTTTCCTTCACTAACAATGCTGACGAAGAACACTGTGTGCTTCCTCCATCTCTAATTTATTTGATTTTGAGAGACCTGCCGAATCTGGAAACCCTATCAAAGGGCTTCCAAAGCCTCGCCTCTCTTCAACATTTAGCCATCGACAAATGCCCGAAGCTTGAGGCGTTGCCTATGCGAGACCACCTTAAAAAGCTTTTGAGCCTTCACATTTCAGGCTGCCCACTTCTTAAGAAACGGTGTTTGAAGAACAAAGGAGACTACTGGTCCATCATTGCTGACATTCTCGACGTCCAAATTGATTACCGTTCCATCTATGATCCATGTCCATGAATTCAATACACGAGGTAACAGAGTTCATTTGATACCTATGAATCTCATCATTTCAAGCAGAACACTTTTCGACATTTCGTCAATTATTTTTCAAATCAGAATGTGAATTTTCTGCAGCAAATAGTGAATCTATACTTTCTGTAACAGCTATTCAAGTGTTTATGCTACTCTGTATCTTATATGTGTGCTTCTGCTCTGCATTATAAATCAATATCAGAGCCGATATACCAACAATCAAGTAATTGATTGGCTATGGCACTAAAATCAGCCTCTCTTCTCACCTTGTATGTGTTCTATTAAGAGTAAAATTCTATCAAATAGACAAATCGGAGTGATAGTTGTTTGTTCAATTAATTACCTTCAACTTGGATAGAATATTTGGTTTAAGTTATTACTTATTAATATTTTGCTTCGATCTGAATAAGCAAACTAGAAGTGGATTGATTCAACTTACTATATGTTTATGCATTTTTGAATTTTCATGTTTACTATATGCTTTAACAAACTGGAAATGGGTGTGCGTTTTTCTAACCTTTTTTGTAGAGTGAAAGTTCTTACACTATTTGAATGAAACAAATAAAAAATTCGTTGTTTTGGTGTAGGCATTTTCTGATTACTTGCAAGAACGCAAGATGGAATGAAGGTGCCTCTTCTATGGCCACAATTACCAGAGTCTCGCTCTTCTATTTATAATTGGTTGTGATGGTCTAGAGTCGTTTCCCAATGGAGGCTTGCCCACACCAAATTTAAGAGATCTATGGATAGTGGATTGTAAATATCTCAAGTCCTTACCCGATCGGATGGATCTACTTTCGTCACTTACATCCCTGGGGTTGTCTAATTGTGCTTCATTAATGGAACTCTTTCCCCAAGAGAATATTCCCCCAAATCTGTCTATGCTGAATGTCACATATTGCGGGAAACTAAAGCCCCTGGGGGAGTGGGGCCTACACAAACTCACCTCTCTTGAATACTTCAGTTTTGGTGGATGTCCAGAGCTGGTTTCCTTCACTAACAATGCTGACGAAGAACACTGTGTGCTTCCTCCATCTCTAATTTATTTGATTTTGAGAGACCTGCCGAATCTGGAAACCCTATCAAAGGGCTTCCAAAGCCTCGCCTCTCTTCAACATTTAGCCATCGACAAATGCCCGAAGCTTGAGGCGTTGCCTATGCGAGACCACCTTAAAAAGCTTTTGAGCCTTCACATTTCAGGCTGCCCACTTCTTAAGAAACGGTGTTTGAAGAACAAAGGAGACTACTGGTCCATCATTGCTGACATTCTCGACGTCCAAATTGATTACCGTTCCATCTATGATCCATGTCCATGAATTCAATACACGAGGTAACAGAGTTCATTTGATACCTATGAATCTCATCATTTCAAGCAGAACACTTTTCGACATTTCGTCAATTATTTTTCAAATCAGAATGTGAATTTTCTGCAGCAAAAAGTGAATCTACACTTTCTGTAACAGCTATTCAAGTGTTCGTGCTACTCTGTATCTTATATGTGTGCTTCTTCTCTGCAGTGTAAATCAATATCAGAGCCGATACCAACAATCAAGTAATTGATTGGCTATGGCGCTAAAATCAGTCTCTCTTCTCACCTTGTATGTGTTGTATTAACAGTAAAATTCTATCAAATAGATAAAATTGGAGTGATAGTTGTTTATTCAATTAATCACCTTCAACTTGGATAGAATAGGTGGTTGAATTAATAATATTTTGCTTGGATCTGCTTTAGCAAATTGGAAATGAACTGATTCGACTTACTATATGTTTATGGATTTTTGAGTTTTATGTGCGGTGTGCTTTTTTTAAACCTTTCTTTTAGACTGGAAGTTCTTACACCATTTGAATGAAACTACTATGTAGGCATTTTCTGATTACTTGTAAGAACGCAAGATGGAATGAAGGTGCCTCTTCTATTAGATCTTCAAGTAAGTTTCTTTGTTGATTTACTTTTTGCATTTGCACTTTGTTTGTGTAAAGGCCACAGCGAAATTATATGGTAGGATGTGTGACTGAAGCTACATTTAGTTGCCTTTTTTTAACTATATTAAGTTTCTTGAGCCAAACGTTATTTTATTAACAACATCAATGCAATTAATTTATTTTACACTTGAAACAACAAATATATGTTTCCTCTTCTTTTTTGCTGGAAGCTACATCACAATAGAGTTGTCTTCTATATGAAGATTTTCTTCTTCTGAATTGCAAGTCCGCACTAGATTTTTGTTGCGGTTTTGGTAGCTTTAATGCTCACCTGCTATCACTTAAGTTGATGTCTCTCTGCATGGCATCATATGAGCCAACAGGTAGACAGGTTCATCTGGCCCTTGAGAGAGAGATCCCGGCAATCATTGACAACTTCATCTCAAGACAGCTCCCATTTCCATCCTGGGATGACAAAGGTATGGTCCTCATTATGGTTTGGGATTTTGCTTTCCCCCTTAAATCAGAATTTGTTCGTCCGATTGAGTGTAGTGTTTTTTTATTGATTTTTAACCGATAAAATTACTTCAAATTACTTCAACAATCTGCACACGCGTTTTTATTTCTTTTTTGTTTATCACATTTTGTTTGATGCCATAGTTATTTGTGATTGATTTTTCTTGCAAAGGTAATATTAGGCTCGCTGTGAGGAAGGCAAAGAAGGAAAAGGAAAATGAAGGATCCACACAAGCCAAAGAGGCCTCCAAGTGCTTTTCTGTTTTCATGTATCTCCCATTTGCATTTTATTTTTTTTGTCTCTATCTTTTCTTTCTATTTTTTCTTATTGATTATCTTTTTATGCCGTTTGGCAAAAGGTTAATTAGACAATTAATTTGTTCAATGTTATTTGTGTTTTCATTTTTCAAGGAAGGGATTAGGAAACAGTACAAGGAAAAATATCCAAACAACATATCAGTTGTTGTTGTTGTGAGTTCGTCATTTTTTTTTTAATGCTAATTTTCACTTGGAGTGTTCATGACAATTTTCTTTATGATTTCTGGTTTTCCTTTTCGGAATAAATAATAATATAGGTTGGAAAAGCTGGTGGAGATAAGTGGAAATCCATGAGTGATGAGGTAATTATATACAGTCTAAGATATTGTTTATATTTTATTCTTCTTCTCGAGAAATTTCCTAATGTTATGAAAATAAGGAAAAAGCTCCCTTTGTGCAAAAGACGGATAAATGAAAGGAAGAATATGAGCAAAAATGGAATACTACAACAAGAATTTGGTAATCCATCTATGAGAAGCATGGAGTTATGCACTGTTNTTGGTAATCCATCTATGAGAAGCATGGAGTTATGCACTGTTTAGTTTAGACTGCAATACTCGAACACTTGTGCCGAACTATTTTTATAGGTTGGAGGTGCTGAAGATGAGTCCGACAAGTCAAAGTTTGAGGTTAATGGTGATGAGGACGATGAGAGCGTTGGAGATGTTAGTTGAGATTAAGCTATACAACTTTTTTGTACTTAAAACTTGGCAACTATGTTGACTTTTTATTTTATTTTAATTAATGTAGGAGGAAGACGACGAGCACTATCACAAAAAAACTAGATTGAAGGTGAGAACCAACCAACAATCTTCATTAATTTGTGTTTCTAGCTTCAAATTTTTTTAAAAAATTGGATTTAGAGTGAGTTAATCGAATTGGTAAAATAAGGATTTCAAGAAGAATTATCGTGTAAAAACTGTGGCTTCATGTGAATTTTATCAAAATTAATTGAATGCCATTATCAATAATACGATTTTCCTCCTTTTATGTTGTTGTGAAGCTGTTAAGGTGTTTGTTCTTCTTTTCAGTGGGGAACAAGCATCTCTTCCCTTACATTAACTTGGGCAAAATGAGAGGGGAAACGTGTCTTAGTTTTCCTTTTTGGTATACAGACTTATTTTGAGGGAAGGGATGGAAGAAGAGGAGGTTGAGCATTTGCAGACCCATGAGCGAAAAATGGCTGACTACAACAAGAATTTTGTAATTCCATCTATTAAATACTCTATTACAATACACTGCATTCATCGCACATTCCAAGAACTAGTTCGATAAATATTTAATGTGTTGAGCAAGCAACTCATATATTGTTAAATTGCTAAAGCTCCTTCTTTGTTTGAAAGCATTAAAGTAAAAAATGTAAGGGATAAAAAACATTAGTTTATTCGTATCTTCAAAGCACCTCTTAGTTGCAAGCGGATTTATTTTTTCTATAGACATGCCATGTATAATTTTCATGGGGACGATGTTTTTATTTTGCAGATTTTCATGTGATCATATTAGAGACTCATAGCTCAATCATCTACCAAGTCGAGAAAGTTGTTAATTAAGTCAGTCGCTATAAGCATGTAGGCCAATCATCTACATGGCCTGCTTTGTATATATTTTGTTGCAAGCTCCATTGCGTGTTTTTGACACCAAATTTGACTTGCACGTAGTTTCTGTTATTAAAAGGAAGGGGCCAAATCGAAACATCATTTAGCTACACATTTTTTAAGAGCAATCGAGGAAACTAATTTGTTGGGAAGCCAACACTCTGCTGAAGAAAACAAAAAGAGTATGATGATTGAGGATGATCATGCTCACATTTGAGTAAAGATCATTTGTAGTATTATGTGGCTGCCAACCATTGCAAACACTCCAGGGAACATTGTCGATGTAAAATTCTACATTACATAATCGAAGGAATTTCCTATCTTTTTTCTTAATGGATAATCAAGTAGGTTGTCATTGTCATTTACTATAGTGATAGCCTAATAGGCTCTTATTGTGATGTGCAGATTCACATGTCCGCGTGTGTGCACGTATTTACGTATATATGTCTATGTAAAAGAGTAGTATTATTAGTAAGCAATGCTTACCTATCAGAGTCTGTAAAAGTAAAGTAACCGCTACGTTTTCCTATAAATTTGGAGTGATGATATTTGTAAGCATTGCACTACAAACAACAATCTATGCTTACCCATTAGCAGTCCATGTAAAGTTATTGTAACTGTCACAATTTCATATAAATTTATAGTGATGATATTTGGAGGCATTCTACTGGAAAACAACAATCTATATGGCAGTGTGACATCTGTCACAGTCTCCTATAAAATTGAGTCATTTTTATTTATTGAAGAACGTGGTAGTGACCATTGTTACATCAATTGTTGATCATTAGTACTATTGGCATAAATTTATCTTAAACGTTGGACACAAAAACGACCGGAGGACATCCCATTTTCATTCTAACAAATAAATCAAGAAAATTATGTGCTTGTTCTTTTCTTGTTCCACCTTTAGAAGAGGCATAGTCAATATCATAAATTTACATTTTACAATAGAACCAATTATAAAGATCAATTACAGAAAAATAAAATAAAATTTGCAGCTTGTTTTAACCAAAAACAAGCCTTCAAAAAATACCACCAGAAGAACCGCCCACTAGCCAAAACCAAGTAATGTGCAACCTTTAAGAAAACTAACTTGCAACGGATGAACTCCAAAATCGAGGACAAGGTACCTGGAAACAATAAACAAGAAAATTCCAATTCGGAAACTGCTCTGTTATTGACAAAGAAATGAGAAAAAATCACCTTCCATTCACTCAACATGAGCTCTCTCTATATCTCGTGCATCCATAGGTTCGAGGAAAATCTCCTTGGTATTCATCTAGATAAGGGCGAATGACTGTTCCTATCATCGTTTTGACCACTTCCCTGGGAACCGTTGTTCCAGACTGTTAAAAATTACTCATTCCTTCCACTTCATAAGAAGCGGTTGGGATGGCCACCACATTGGAAGAGATGCGCCGCCAGCTGCCAAATAAAGCGACATCCCATGATTCTATAAGTGTACGGATCATGATAAATAATAAAGTGTATTATAAGTCTAAATATCGTTCCTACAATTTAAGGTAATCTATCAATTAACGACACTTGCATGCTATCTAAACGAATACTTAGCACCATTAATATCAAATAGCATTACTCTTGTCCAGAACTTTAGTGTTACATGATCAAATGTTTTAGGTTGCACGGAAAATTGTAAAACGTCCTTTCCGTCCATTTCTATCCAACCGTTTCATATTATACATGAACTTTCAAAAATTTAAAAATTGGTTCAGAATCCCAAATAAAAAACAATAATTCTACTTGTACATCATTTTTGAGGATGACATCTTTCAAAAAATTGTGATAGGGAAAAATGTATTTTTTGAAACAATCCAACGGTGCATTGCCACGTGGTACAATGTAATGAATGATATAAAAAATTGATGAACATGTAGCATGATTGAATAAAATATCCAGCTTACCGTCCATATTTCACTACTAATCCAAAATCCCAAATTGTTTCAGAATCTATCCTGCTTACTAGTTCATTTTATCTAAAATGATTCTAGTACTTCACCAATATAAATAAAGAATCACGAATATTAACAAAGAATCCAATAATGTGTCTCTGTCATTTCACATAATCTATATCTTCTTCTAGCATAAGAAAGTGTCCCACAATACCTTTGTGTCATTTAACAGAATCTACTAATTTTTAGCAGAAACTCAAGAATTTCTTGCCATGAATTAGTTGTATTAAACAAGTCCCATAATGAATTATACTATGATAAAATCCCATAATTCAAAGATTATGTTTTGATATTATCTACATCCATGGATTTACCATTACTTTTGTCTTTTGCTATGCAGAATCAGGCATGGTATCTTATCAAGCTGTTATTAGCCACATACAAAAACGTTACAGTCGCAAACAACCAATTTATGCTATCTTTTCATCTTGGAATTATACTTGAAATGAACATAAATTTGCATCAAATTACCCATGAATCCAGTAAAACGCGCCATTCTCTCTTGGACTTTTTTCTTACGTTGTCTGGTGCTGCATTTGAAGATAATAAACCTTCATTGTATATCCTGCATTTTTCTGCA